CTGCTTCTCCCTCTCCCACTCCCCCTGCTTGTGTTCCCTCTCTCGCTGTGTCTCTCCCTGTCAAATAAATAAATAAAATCTTAAAAAAAAAAAATGAGTCTAGATCTGGTATTTACTGAGAACACTGAGTTGGAATCACACTTTGTGCATATGACTGAACACACAGTTAGACTGCAAAAATTCGGCAAGTCTGTCCTCATTTTACAAACAAGGAAACTTGCCCAGGGTTTATTTTTAAAGGTACAAACTTTGAGTAGATGGCATAACTATAGTTTTTCAGATGACAGCAAATTTTGCCATCTACGCAGGAAAATGCACGTTATGGGGCTGAGATCCGCCATGGTGCTACACAACCAAGAGAAACCTGGACCATCCTTCTAGACTGCTCTCAAAAATAATTCTTTGTTTTCTCTTTGGCATTGCTGAAGATTCTGTCCATAGGTAAATTCAGTAATTGATGAACCCTAAAATTATAATGTTACATACTTTTGGGACATTTAGGTGGAGGGGAAGAGGAGATATGGGTTGGGGGCAAATAATGAAGTCTGAAAAGTTATGGTAAGCTCTTGTTAACTGGGAGTGATGGAAGGGGGAATTTTATTTTTTATTTTTATTTTTTTAAAAGATTTCATTTATTTATTTGACAGAGAGAGAGAGAGAGCGAGAGCAGGAACACAAGCAGGGGAAGTGGAAGAGGGAGAAGCAGGCTTCCTGCCGAGCCGGGAGCCCGATGTGGGACTTGATCCCAGGACCCTGGGATCATGACCTGAGCCGAAGGCAGACGCTTAACGACTGAGCCACCCAGGCGCCTGGGGCTCTTCCATTTTAAAAGTCAAACTTATGCCTCCCTCTCAACCATGGTGCTTTCCTTTCTCCTTCTCTTTACAGCTTATTTTTTTTAAGTTTATTTATTTATTTAAGTAATCTCTACCCCCAACGTGGGGCTCAAACTCACGACCCTGAGATCAAGAGCCGCATGCTCCTCCAACTGAGCCAGCCAGGGGCACCTTTACAGCTTACTTCGAACAGCATTCCGTAATTAGTGCCTTCCACCTCAGCCTGCTGTGTAAACTGGTTTCCAACCCTATTCTACTAGAGCTTCTATGGCAAACACACCAATGATATCCATGTGGCTAAAAACTGATGGATATATTTCAGAGTTCTTATCTTACTAGACCCATCTGTATATTTTCCACTGCTAATCACTTTATCGGCATTCCCTCTTCCTGTGGATTCCACACCACCAGTCTCTCCTGGAGAGTTTCCTTTTTATCTGTCTGGCCCTTCCTCTGGCATCTCTGTGGAATTGCTTGATCTGGGTTTCCCTGCTGGGGCCCATTCATTTCAGAAAGTATGGAGGAACCTCTATGCAACACATGGCAAATTTTTTTCTTTTTTTTTTCTTTTTTTTACTTAAGTCTTTTTAAAAGGACGTTCTTAGAGGCATCTGGAATATATACTATCTATCTGACAATATGAATTAGTTTACCTGATTACATGGCTTATAATAATTACATGAGATTTTCAGAAAAATACCATAAGCATGGTTTGGTAGGTGAATCAAGGGGCCGTCTATCAGACAGGATTAACAAACAACATAATATCGGCGTCAAAACAGCTGGTAATTTGTGGTGTTTGGGCACCATGATTTGGAATCCACCATGCCTATGTTTTAGGATGCATGGCTCTAGTTGAGAAAAGTTTAGGTGAGAATACTGCAATCTGCTAGATAATGCATGTAACAATCTATACCAGGGTATGGTAGGAAAGGAGATCTAAAAACACTATAAACTTAGTTTTGCAATAAAGCTTTAGAAGCTAATTTATTCATATGCTAGTCAAGGTAGCCCAAAAGGATAAGCTATAATTGGTACTGGATTCTATCTGCCGGGTCATGAAGTGTAGTCTCTGGATCCCAGCTCTCCCAACTTGTCCAATGGTGTTTAACTAAGGCACTCTCAGTGCTGGGTAGCTGGATCTGCAAGTGATGAACACAGGCCCTCCAGTGTCTGTCTGGGTCTATGAGGAGGTGGGAGAGAACAGCTCAGACCTCTAGTCCACTTTGAGCAAATGCCAAAACACCTCAAGCCCAAGAGGTTTAGAACTCTATGCAAGTGATGATCCAATGTGACCTGCCTTCATGCTTCCTCCTGAAGTGAGAATTCCTATTTTACTGAAGATGTGCAAAGGAAATACAGAGGGTGGTTCATGTCCTACAGAGCTCAGCATCTCACCTGAGAAATCGTAAGGAAATTTTTTATTTGGAAAAAAAGGAAGGTGGGTACGGCTTAAGCGCAGAAAATGTGGATAAAGACAGAATGTAAGAGAGCTGGTACCACTCACTTGAGGGGGAAGGGGGAACTGTAAGGGCCACCGTGGCGTGCAAATGAATGCCCTAACACCCCTCCCTGCAATCACAAAAGCAGGCATCCTCTAAGAAAGAAAGATCATTTCCAAGAAGCAGTCAGTAAAAACAATACAGGTTTTGCCACTCTGCTTCCTCATCACCACACTCAGCAGAATTAAGACCTTGCCTTGGAAGGAGGGCGGCTGACCAACGTGGATTGCCTCTCTACAAGGAACAGCTCATTAGCAGCCATCCTCAGCCTGGGCTCCTTGAGAGAATTGAGACTGAATGCACCACGGCACCCTCTCTACATCTAGGATAGTTATCAGCCATCTGCCAATCTTAGGAGAAGGCAAAAAAAAAAAGTCACTCAAATCACTTTCCACTGGGATTAATGCTCATGAACAGCCCTGGCTGGAGTACTATTTTATACTGTGACTCAGACATCAAAGAAATGTACAGCAACCAAGCCATTAGTGTGTGGTTTGAGGAGTGATTAACAACCCATGCCCTCAGCCATTCCAGAACATATCATCTCTTTTTCTTTGTGGTATCCACTGAGAAGTGGCCTCCAATGTCCACCTTCTTCTCCCTACCTGCTCAAGATTTCGGATTTCTGTGTCACTATCCAGACTTACTGAACGGACGACGTTATTTTTTTCAGGCACCGCTAAACCTTATTTCTGCTCCCATTTTTCTTATACTGCCCTCATTTCACTAGAATCATAGTTACAATTAAGGTTTCATCCATTCACAGCGATAACCTACAAGAATACTGACTCAAGCACTAATAGCATGAATAGTCTTTTGTTACACAGTCTTGGAGTTTTGCTCTGACAAATGTATCTAGAAATAACTGTTCCCTAATAGAAGCCATCAAGGGTAGGGAACGAGGGTGAGGAAATATCTTTTTCCCACTGTCATTTTCATTACGGTTTTGTCTGCTGATTTGGCAGGTAAAAGAAGAAAAATTACCTAATTTTTCTTAAGGTCATATGCAAGTAGAAATTTTCATGGCTGTAGAAAACATATTAGAGCATAAATATCAAAGAGATTCACTGACAACACACTTGTTTCAGATGAATGATTTACAACGAAAGAGGAGCATGGGCGAAGGGGTGCTTTCCCGTATATTCCATATTTTTTTTTTTTACATGTGGTGGAAAAACTCACAGTTGGAAAGCAGCAGCTCATCCAATATAGGGACTTTGCAGAAAATATGCCACCGGGATTTTGGGTTCATCTGAAAGCGTTCTTTCCTCCATTAAGACACAGAATGAGCAATAGCCTTCCATTTTCTTCTTGAATTACCACTGAGCCCATTCTGCTCTTCAGGGAACATATCAAATTCCTAGGACTGTCTCTTAGGCACCACTGTAACTAGGGCAAATCTTGACTCCCACAGGAGCCCTAGTGCTCCTACCACACAGTCTGCAGGACTGATGTGAATGTGAAAGCTATTATCCACCTTCTCTGAAGGAGTGACACTATCAATATCCTCTCGGGCCTAACAGCCAAGTAGCCCTGAAACATGAACAGGCCCAGAGCAGAAGTGGGATGTCATCCGTGGCCACGGGACAGAAGAAATGCCAGGTCACTCGCACACTTACTTGCCAGAGCCTTTTTCCCAGCTGCATGGTAGGCTACAATATATTTCTTCCCCTCTCTGTCCTCTGTTTTTGTCTCTAATCCTGGAAACAGAGATTTAATCGCTTGATGGATAACAGTTCTTTTCTCTTTGGTGTCCTCAATAACCTATTAAAGACAGAAATAATGCAACTACTGATTTAACAAACATCAAATAGGGAGATAATGCTAATGAGTCAGTAAAAACATGAGTCATGTTATCAACTGTGCAAAGTAACAGAAGTCCATGGGTAGGATTTCAGGATCTTTCAGAGCTTCATGATGCTGCACGTCTTAAGAGCCCGTTTACTGAGGATGACCATCTGCCAGGCACTGTACCAAGAACTTTGTAGTCATCGGCTTATTTAATCCTCATCATCTCCTTACCATGCCACCCCTACAACACCTACCCGGAGAGAAGGAAAACAAGGTTGAGAGAAGTGAAGGAATGTGTCCCGGCTCACACAGCTGGAGGACGGTGGCGCCAGATGTGAAATCCGGGCTGTGTGACTCGGGAGGCTCCCATCACCGACACTCCCGCTCAGGGCTCACAGACGGCAATGTCGGCAAGCTAGGCCATTTGGGAGGTCAGAAACTCAACTCCCTTGAACAGTCCAATCTACAACTGCCCCACAAGGAATCCTATTTTATACTGAATTATTTTTTTTAATTTTAATTTTTTTTTTTTAAAGATTTCATTTATTTGACAGAGAGAGACAGAGCGAGAGAGGGAACACAAGCAGGGGGGAGTGGGAGAGGGAGAAGCAGACCCCCCGCTGAGCAGGGAGCCCGATGTAGGGCTCGACCCAGGACCCTGGTATCATGACCTGAGCCGAAGGCAGACGCTCAACGACTGAGCCACCCAGGCGCCCCTATACTGAATTATTTTATAATGACATTCTAAGCACATTCATTCCCAATAAAAAATAAAATCAACATCAAGAAAACTGATACTTATTAGCTATAGAACTATTGTTCAGGGTGCCTGGGTGGCTCAGTCTGTTAAGCGTCTGACTCTTGATTTCGGCTCAGATCATGATCTCAGGGTCATGAGACCGAGCCCCATGTCGGGCTCCAGCTCTGCACTGGGTATGGAGTCTACGTAAGATTCTCTCCCTCTGCCCCTCTCCTCCACCCAGTGCTGCACACATGTTCTCTCTCTCTCTTAAAACAACAACAACAACAACAACAAAACTGTTGTTCAATTTCTGAATGTGTCTCACACTAAGAAATACATTTCACATCTGGATTCAACAGCCAGAAATATGCATGTATATATGCCTTACTAAAGACCTAAAAAAATATTACAAAAACAGTATTTATCCTTAATGTGTACAATGCACTGTTATTTCCTATTTTATCGTATTGCATTTACACAAATGTTGGTTAAGATCTACTAAACTGATTCCACGATCCACTGAGGATTGCAACCTGCAAGTTGAAAAACACCGGGATACACTAAACTACTTGTTAAACTTAGTATTTTAGTAAAATTAAAAATGTAAAACAAAACAAACTACATTATAATTACAGACATGTGACATTTTCATAACAAAAATGAGTCTAGGGGCGCCTGGGTGGCTCAGTCGTTAAGCGTCTGCCTTCGGCTCAGGTCATGATCCCAGGGTCCTGGGATCGAGTCCCGCATCGGGCTCCC